AATTGTAATTGAAGACTACGAAATGGAAGCACAAAACAATTCGTAAACCAACCGGCACACTATATGTACACCTATGGAAGGTAGCTTGATGTTTTTATGTTTTGTTTGTTTATGTTAGTTTTTAAAAACCAATAAAATTTAATTTTTAAAAAAGACAAAAAAAAGACAATGGAATTATCTGAATGAGCATTTTAACAGATTATTTACATAAATAATCATGTGTACATGATTAAAGAAAACAAAGCAACATACCTAAACTGGAGCAACAGAATTCTTATCTGAAAAATAAATACGATTTATAAAGAAATAAAAAATGAATAGCAATTATAACTACTGATAAGAACAAAACCATAAAAAGGAACAAAAACAGTCCTGGAGATCTTCAGAATAGCAGACATATTGCAGGGCAAAAGAAGGAATCAGATTTCTACATTCTTTCAGCATGCCAAGAACCACAACAGGAAGATGGCAGATGAATAGTATGTCTAGGATTCTAGATCTACAATGAGGTTCAAACTTTCTGGGAATATTTACTATCTTTTTAATACTTTTCTTAAGGGACAGGGAGCATAATTAGTAATGTGTAGCAATGGCTTTATAGTCCATCTTACCAGGGACTTGATCACATATGTAGACAGTGGAATCTCTGCCAAAAATATTTTAGACCACAGCTTAGCAGACAGTATCTGGGGGTGGTCTGATGATGTATCTAATCAATAACATGGGAACCTAGACAGCAATTTTCTACCAAGAATATTTTTACGAAAAATTTGGTAGCCACCTTTTTTGTCCTCTTCTCTTGGTATTGTAAATTCTTCTAAATGCACATATAGAGAAATCTGTAATACATAAATACTAGTTGCTTCAATCAACTAAATAAAAATTTTCTCCCTGGATATATTTTGAATGTGGAAAGGAAGAAAAACAGTCCACACCACTAACTATTTATTTATTTTATTTATTTGGAAAATTTATATTGCCTCTCACTCATGGCAACTCAAAGTGGCTTGCAGGAAATAAAAAAACAATATAGAAGAAATAAAAATAAAATAATAATTCCCTACTCCACTCCAGTGACAACACACTCTCATATCAGCCATTTAACAGGCTCCATCTAGCTCTGAGTTCCCCAGGCCTGCTGGCAGAACCATATATTCAGGGCCTTCCCAAATAATGTCAGAGTGGGGGCCAGTCTAATTTCCAGAGGGATGATGTTCCAGAGGGAGGGAGCCACAACAGAGAAGGCTCTTCTTCTGGTTTCTGCCAGATGTATCTCCTTAGGGGACAGGTCCTGCAACATTTCTTGCCTCCCCACTCTAGTGGGTCGGGTGGATGTGAACAGCAAGAGATGGTCCCTCAGATAACCTGGTCCCACGGGTTTTAAAGGTGACAACCAGCACCTTGAATTGCACCTGGAAGCAAATTGGAATCAATGAATCTCCTGCAGGAGAGGTCACACATATTTCCATTGAGTTCTGCACAAAACCATGCAGGCACTGCATTTTGCACTAACGAGCTGCCGGATGCTTTTCAAGGACAGTCCCATTTGAGCACATTCCAGTAGTCAGGATGGGAGGTGATAGGGCAGTGATGACTAATCTTTTTGTTATGGCATGCCTGCACCTATAATGCAGTGCGTGCATGACCCCCCCACTCCCTCTGCCCCCCGTGCATGCATGTGCAACCCCCCCATGCCCCATTTTGGGCCTAGTGGGCCTCCCTGAAGCCTCCTGGGAGCAAAAAGAGGGAGCAGAGGGGTGTGCTGCACCTCCCCATGCCCCATTTTGGGCCTAGTAGGCCTCCCTGCAGCCTCCTGGGAGCAAAAACAGGACAGGAGGTGTGGCGCAGGCCCTTGTGGCCAGTTTTTGCTCCCAGGAGGCTGCAGGGAGGCTTACTAGTCCCAAAACGGGAGCATAAAGGCCCTCTTGGCTATGACTGCCACCTGCTCAAAGAGTAGGAATTGCAAGTCCAGGAGAACACCCAGATTAAGCATTGGGTCTGTTTGGGGCAGTGCTATCCCATCCAAGGTGGCAATTCTCAAAGAACCCCAAACCCATTGCCAGGGTCAGTTTTATCCCATTGCTCCCCATCCAGGCCCTAACAGCCTCCAGGCACTGTGAGTGGTCACAGCATTGCTTAACTCACCACAGGATGAGACATACAGCTGAGTATCAACAGCATGTTGGTGATATCTCAGTTCATGTGACAGATGATCTCACCCAACAGCTTCATGTAGATGTTGAATAGGAGTGGAGGAGAGCCCTACATTTTGCTGATCTTCTGGGTTGTTACTATAATGTCCAGAATGTGGCATTGATATCTTGTGCCAGTCTGCTGTCCAAAGTCCTGAAAAAGATTTGCTGATCATTTCTTTTGCTGTAATATATAAATGTAGTTAAAGTAGTGGATTGGCTGGCTATCCTGAAGTGATGTAGGCAACGTTGCCTTTTTTTGAATTATCTGAAGGTGCCCAAGACCCAAAGCTGCATGCTGGTACATTTCTTCCTGAAAAAGAGAAGAGGACTACATCATTCCAGCCTAAGAGAAACTGCTGACCAGCATAACTTAACTTGTTTAATTCTCAGTAGGAAAGGAATCTAGATATATAACAAGGCACACATTTGCTACCACTGAAGGCTGCATGTATAACTTGTAGAGAGATGTTTAACTTTGAAATGCTTGGACAGGCACTTATAATTCAAGCTTTTATTTTGTTCTTTTATTGCTACTTCTCCATTACCATCACTTCTCAGAATGGCCTGAGGGAAGTAGGAAAGAAGGGGGAAAGAAACTGATTTGTTTAGCTGCTGTAAAACTGTGGAAATGAAATACTGTCTACATTGCTTTACATGCCCGCAAATGAAAGTACCAATTTGCATTATCATAGTAATAAAAAGAAGAAAAAGTCACAGGAAGATATTGTATGCTGTCCATTAGATCAATTCCAATGAACCCAGGAGACCCTTATGACACTGGCCTTCTCACTTATAGTGAAAGAAGGAAAATTAGTCTTTGTGATAAAAAAAAACTAAAAAACTACCAATGTAGACAGATATAAAGGAAACATTGGATTTTCTTCTTTTTCTACTCCTTAAACATATATTGATATTGTGAGGAAGTTCCCAGAATAGATAGGCACGCCCAAAATGTGGCATCCAGATTATTTTTTGACTTATTAATATTTTTAGATGAATAGATTCTTGACAAGGAATGGTTTATAAGACTTACTTTAAATGTGAACCTGGAGTTTTGGTTTGTTTTTATGCTTTTTCAAAATGCACTCTTGGGATAGCAAATATATACTGTATATTCCTCTTAAGACTAAAGTTTATTTTTAACTTTTTCCCCTGATGTCCTTATCTTCCTTGAGAGTAGATAGTCCAAAAGAGAGGTGAAGATGTGAACTTTACATACCAAGGCACACAGTTGGTTCCACAACCTGAAGAATATTGAAGAACCTTAAGTTAGGAGATGACTATAGTAACTTACCTAATTAATTTCAGTGGTCTCTAGATTCTAGCCTAATTTTAATGATAGTTTTAACCAACTATTGTATCTTGAACGCTAGAAACATGTCCTGTGATTTCAATTCTGCGAAACAAAGCCCAACGTGTCAATGCTTTGCAAATAGTTTTAAAACAAGGAAATATGGTTTTAATTGTTGTGATAATAGGATTTTATAGCTAATCTGTAAAAATTAAGAACAGCTAATCTGTATTTTAATTCCTTTTAGTAAGTTGTTTATTTTTACAACAGAAATGTCAGAAGAAATTTGGAATGGTTATTGATGTGAAAAATAAAAACTTTATAAAGCCAGATACATTGGCATATGATTTAAGGGTATACCATTTGTTTCTAAAACCATTCTGGTGTGCATTCATTACAGCACATATGTGGCAGCCACTGAGAGAAGGGAACCAGCTGGCTGTCAAAAAATTACCATTGGCAAAGTTTTTCTTGTCTTAACAAGACTACAAGCTGCCTTCACAGATGGAGTAATAATGGGAAGCCAATTGTGGTCAGAAAATGCATTACATGTATTTTGCCTCTCATATAATATAGGACTTTGCTAAATATTCAGTAGTTTTTTTTATCCCTCCTCCAATAAAAATAACCTCCTCTCAAAAGAACTGTTGGAATGTTTTCTGCCATTGTCTCTCATGGATGCTTCTCCTTTTATCTCTTTTGTGTCCTTTTTAAAAATTACTTATAATAGCTATGACTTGCCAGTCAGATTTGCCATTAGAGGCAGCTGATAGTCAATTAAGTGTTAGAGCATACTGAAACAAATGATGGCAGACTAAACGAAGACACAAATATATTCACCAAGATTACCAATAACTCAGAAAAAGAACAAATAGTCATTTTTATCAATTTGGAAAAGACACCTTAACTATCCAACATCTCCCAAAAGCCAAAATTCTGGGCTCCACCCTTTCTAGTGACATAATGATATTGGCCACATCTCAGACAGTCCTTAGTATCATCTGCATGAGGTATGGCTCTTTAACACAAGCACATTGTCCATTCCAGTCTTAGTGATCAAATCACAAGAATTAGTTCCAGTTGCAATTTCCTTTTAAAATTATTAATAACTATTTTAAACATCTCAAAGATGCTTTTTCAAAAGGCAAGTGGATTGTGGGGTTGTTGTTGTTTTGAGAAAAAAGACTTATGAATGATAAATGAAGGTCTGTCTATATTCAGGTCTGAGTGTTCACAACATACAATAAACATTTTGAAAACAATAGATTGGGTGGTTTCTAAGAAATTGATAAAGTGTTGCATTATTACCTTAAAGACTGCCAGATTTATTATTGATGTTTCACTGTCAACTACCAAATGCATTGTTTTACATCTGACATTAGGGATTTGTAGCTCACCAGCCAGTGTATAGTGATAAGAATATTTTAGAGTTATGGGTCAACAACTTCTGGAGGGTTGTGGTAAAACATTCAAGTGTTATATTACCATAATAAATGAAATTTATTTTGTTCTAGGAATGCAAAGAACCTGATATATTATTTCCAAAAGCAGAGGTTGAAGGGAATATTAATTTCACAAGCACTCCTAAGCAAAGTGATGCTGCTGTACAGTGCTTTGTTACATATTGCCCACCGGAGAAGTTAAGAGGTAAGCACTATGCATTGGGCTTGGCTTCTGTGTTTTAATGTTTTGGAGGGAGGGGGGGTCACTATTATTTTCAGAAACTCATAACAACTTAGAAAATAACTAGCTAAAGTATAGATTACAAACTATCTAAGATTTCATGAATGGTGGAAGAGCTGACTGACTTGATGAATTGGTTTATTAGCATAAATTCCAGTTTTAAATGGTTTCCAACTTGATGCTATAAAACAAACTTAGAAATATAAATTATAATTTCAGTATTTATTTTCTATCAATCTTAAATAACTCCATTGTTTCTAAACCTAGATAAGAAGTTCAGATGTGGAATATAATTTTTTGTTGTCATATTGATATATTTTAAATAATATCCTGCATATATTAGCTGTTTTGAACAATAAAAATCACATTAACTTTTTTTTTGCTAAAGATAATTTACTAAAGACAGTTTGGACATTTTAATATTCAGATAGTGATGTTGTAGGTTAGCATTCTATTTTTCTGGGATGTTAAAATATATTAATTTTAAATGATTAAAAATAACAAGTTCTTGCATATAAAATTAAAGACCAAAATCTAAATTGAAAATTCCATTACATAAACAATGGAAAATTAAAAATTGGAAAGGAATGGATGGGGAAGGGTATATGCTCTAGTCTTCCCTTGCTACCTCACATTTGTTTAGCATTGTGTTTTCATGCTTGGATCTAAAATTGAATGCATAATTTTGCCCTGAGAAAGAGATTCCAAAACAGATGATGAATTACAGCTATTCAAAGAAAAAAAGCCTTCCCAGGGAATTAGCAGAACATTCCTTACTCCTACCCCTATGTTAATATACAGTATTTTCTAAAACTCCAGGCAATACAATTCTAAATGTAGAGTGTCAAACTATCTCTCATAGTTTCATATTTCCTCCTCTCATTATTTAGGACTTAAAGCATATGTTTTAAATTTGTAATGGTTTCCTTTAATTTGGGAATGTGCTGCATCCCAGATCCAAAGATAAAATTACATTGATGGCTTTGAATTTGATCCCCTACCTTTGACCATGTTCTTACATTATAGAGGAAGAAATGATCAGCAAATCTGGGCTACAATAATTGGGATAAGAGAAAACATTCTTGATACAAATGCATATAGGAGAGTTCTATTTCTTGATAACATGAGAAAACCCAATTGTTATACACTTTTAAGAACAGAGGTAGTTGTTGCTTCTGGCATGTTGTGGTTATGCTGGCTTGAGTCCAATGCTATTTTTGCATTAGGAGAAATTCTCTGCTAATCAGGCAGGAGGAAAAAAAAATGAGACCCAAAGTTCAGACATCTCCTCTTTGACCTACTACATTTTAAGATGCTTCAGGACCCATACAATTCCATTTGCCATCTTCTTCCTTTATGCATCTTTGTAAGCAATGGACTTTTTCCGCTTCAACCAAAGAAAGAATAAACTTCTGAAAGCTAGGCACTTCAAAAGGAATTCTTTATTGAAAGGAAATGATTCCAATACTAGTCAAAGCAGAATCTAAGGTGCTCCCAGGCATACAGTAACAGATAAAGGGAGTTAGAACCCCTCCCCTTATTTAGATGTGGATTTTGTCAAACAAAGAACTAACATGTTAATTCTCCCCTCCCCTTTTCTAGGAACATATCTTAGAAGAGTTTCCCAGGGATTATCTTCCAGAGCTAGAATTTTTATGGTCCCTTCGCCTCTTGCTATCTCTCCAAGAGGTGACAAGTTTCTAGACATCTGGCTCCAGTCCTCCAGTTGTATATCATGTGCAAGTTATACAGATTCAATATAAGATTTAATATATTCAGGTTACATCAAAAAGGATTACTTGTACCAACTTCCCCCCACTTCTTCCATTGAAGAATGGCAGATACATAGATCGGACATACTGCCCTCCTCAAAAATTTGAGACAGCCACCTGGAAGACATAAAACATGTGTTACATTTACAACTTAGGATGGTTTGTGAGGGTATTTCATAATAATGTGGGTGCTTTTACATGTCGTTTGGCTACCCATTCATTTTCTGAGGAAGGAAGGTGTTTCCAAGCTACTAAATATTATGTGGATCCACAGTGAGTGCATGAATCAAGGATATCTTTAATTTCAAAATGTTGTTCCCCATGTACCATAATGGGAGTTGGAGGTGTGGGAGGGGGGGGTCTAAGGTTTGAAGTGATCTCTGGTTTGAGTAGGCTACAGTGAAATACTGGATAATAATAATGAAATACTAAGTGTTTTGGGAAGTAGAAGCTCTACCGTAACAGGGTTAATAATTCTGGAGATGGAAAATGGAAAATGGCCCAATGAATTTAGGTCCCAGTTTCTTAGAGGGTTGCAATGATTTTAGGATTTTGTGGACAAATATATGCAGGGGTGGGATTCTATTTTTTTTAACAACCGGTTCTGTGGGCATGGCTAAGTTGGTGGGCATGGTTTGGTGGTCATGTTATTGGATGGGTGTGGCCAACTCAATATCATTCACATCAAGGCACACATCTCCTTTCCTAGCCTCTCATGACTATGGGGATGCTGCAATAGTCGTAAGTGTGAAAAATGGTCATAAGTCACTTTTTTTCAGTGCCATTGTAACTTTGAATGGTCACTCCACACAAGCAAAGTACCAGCAAAAGAGGGAAAGAAAACTCCAGAGAGGTTCCTGAAACAGGAAGTCTAGTCCTGCCAAGAATGTAATAAGGGTTAATGGAGAGGCAGTTTCTGTAAGCAACACCAGAATGTTTCCTTCCTGCCTTCCTTACAGGATTAGACCAGGAATTTCTTCTAACAACCGGTTCTCCAAACTGCTTAGAATGTTAACAACCGGTTCTAGCGAATAGGTGTGAACTGGTAGAATCCCACCCCTGAATATACGTGATCCCCAACTTTGAATGGTTTAGGATCACAGTGTTTTTTTGTCCGCTTGAGCTTTAAAAGCTGCCCTAGACTCTTGTAAGGCTAGTCTGGCCACTGGCCAAGTGGCTTGCAAATTATTAATCCACTCCTTAAGGGAGGGAATTTCAAGTTTCTTGGTGGATAGTTCTGGCATGGGGTTGAATTCTTGTCCTGTGGCTACCTGGAATGGGGTGAAACCAGTGCCGCTATGGACGGAGTTGTTGTATGCTACCTCTGCAAAAGGAAGAAGGTCAGTCCAATTGTCCTGTTGGTTATTAATAAAGCATCTTAAATATTGTTCTAATACGCTGTTCAATCGTTCAGCTCTGCCATTAGTCTGGAGGTGATTGGACGATAGCAACCCCTGGGTGGAGCCTAATAAGTTTAAAAACACCCGCCAAAAGGTGGATGTGAATTGAACACCCCTATCTGAGATAATCCATTTGGGAGCTCCATGAAGGCGATAAATGTCTATTAAAAACATCTTTGTCAAGGCCTTGGCTGTTGGGATCTTTTGGCATGGCACAAAATGAACCTGTTTTGAAAAAAGATCAGTTACAACCCAAATAACAGTATTTCCTGCACTTTCAGGGAGCTCCACTATAAAGTCCATAGAGATCTCTTTCCAGGGTGCTGAAGGTTCTGCCACTGTTTGTAAAAATCCAGGAGATTTTCCTTGTCTTCTTCTTGCAGCAGCGCAGATGGGGCAACTAGCAACAGTTTTCAATATCCTTTTTGAGAGATGGCCACCAAAATTGTCTTCTGATGAGGTGCAGGGTTTTTACAAACCCAAAGTGTCCAGCTATTTCTGAGTCGTGGTATTGTTTCATGAGGTCCATCCTCTGGCTGGTAGGGACATAAAGTTTGTTTTCTACCCAGGCTAGACCATCTTTGAGTAAGCAAATATTTTTGTTAGCTTGGAGCCAGTCATCCTTAAGTAGTTACAATCAACTTGAGTACAGAGGAAAACAAAGAATCGTCATAAAACATTTTATGTGAGAGAATGTGAGATTTAAGAAGAAAGTACCAGTTCCTGATGATGAGATTAAATAAAAATAGTGTTAATTTTGGATGGCTAACACCATATGGTATAATGGTAACATGGAAGGACAAAAGATACAAGCTTGACACTGTGGAAAAAGCCGAAGAATTTTACAAGCAACATTGCGATACTGAAGAAGATTCAGGAGATCACGGAGAAGAAAGTGGCACAATGGAAGGAAGAGATTCAGGACAAGCAATTGAAGAAAAAGAAAGAGTACAAGAAATGGAAAAAGTCAAGAGAAGAGAAGAAAGATAAGTTAGAATATTATGGAGGAAGATATGAAGTACCAAAGGAATCTAGAAAAAGGCACAATTAAGAAAATGGGTGAAGAATACAGGATTTGGTCAACAAACATCAATGGATTAAATTCACCAATAAAACGCCCGAAAATATTTACTAAACTCCAAAAATTAAAGATTGCTATAATTGCGCTGCAAGAAGTTCATATAAGAGACGATCAAAAATACTTATTATAACAACCTAAGCTAGGCAATTTGTATGTATCATTAGACCAGCAAAAAAAAAAGAGGTCTGGTCCTTTATGTGACAAATAAGATTATGGCAAAACAAATTTACAAAGATAAAGAAGGGAGAATCTTGATAGTAGAGGTTAAACTAAACCACAGAAATATAATTATTTCGTATATGTACCAAATGGAGCCCAAGAACTTTTTTTTATAAAAATCTCTATAACATAATTAGCGACATAGAATGTGATGGGTTATTTATAGTCGGGGACTTCAGTGCAATCATGTTGTGCCTCCGAAGTTTGAACCAGGTCAGTCAGCAGATGTAGGCTTGAGTGATGAGGAAGATCTGGCATTAAGATTCGAGCCTGCATTGCTGAGCGACGTTGAGAGGAATCTGGGGGAGGAGGAGGAGTTGAATATGAGAGATGAGCCTGATTTATTAGAAGTTTCAGAGGCGTCTTCCTCTTCTTTAACTCCCTCCCTGATTGCACCTCAGGTGTTAACTGTTAATCAGGAAAGTGTGTCAGAGGCTTCAAGCGATGATGAAACTGCCGGATGCTGGCTGGATGCTAGGACTAGGAGAAGAT